TGTCATCTGGATCAACGGTGTACAGATCCCGGCCCGCGATGTGAACCCGTTCTCGCTGCTGGCACACTTGCGCCGTGAACGTAAATTGATCAACGGGATACGCAGTCAGGGTCTTAGCGGTTCTGAGGTCATTTCGTTGTTGTCGCATGATTCTATCGCCCAGACTCAGACGGATGCTGAACCTCAACGTTACGACTTCAGAGATGCTACCGAAGGCGGCAACGTCATCTTGTGGCTAAACGACATCGAAAACGACCCGATGTACGAAGGGTGGCCAAGTGAACTCAGGGCTGTGAGTACGATTATTCATATCATCGATCTTGAGCTAATCGAAACTACAGTTACTGCAGAGAACGTATCCTGGTCAGTTGCCATCGTGTCGCAGAGACATTCACAACGCCATCGTTGCTGTCGACTTGACTTCGTCCGAAGATGTTACGACTATGCTTGAGACTATTCTCAGTCTCATCAGGCGTGGTATTCCACTGCGCTGGGGTATCGTTCCTCAGACCGCTACAACTGCTGCTCTTGAGCAGGCCAAGGTAGTTTACCATCTGCAAGACGCGTATGGACTGCCTGCTGTGATTGAATACCTTCAAGTAGTAAGTGTTGAAACCTCTTACGAAGTCATATGTTGCGCTGACGCGAAACAGTTGGCGGATGGCAAGAAGCTGGCACACGCAGATCAAGCCACCTTCGACGCGACAGTCAAGAAAACCGCGCTCCTCGAGGGAAAGGAGGCTTTGGCCTTTGATGACGTACTGAAGTCAGAGACGCTGGATCAGCGCATCAAAGGTGCCAAACAGTACCTGAAGCGTCTAGCAGCAGAAGGCCCCAAAGCCCCCGTCTTTGTCAACGGCGTACCCATTCCAGCGACCGAAGAATGGCTCGGAACACTCAGCCAAAGAGTCGGCATGGATCTTCGTCAAATTCAGCAAGCAGTCTTCAACGGTAACTTCAACAGCGATAGTTGGGTTCCGCAACATTTCTTGGCCTCAGCTGCTGCTAAGCGCAATCCTCTTGTCATCCCGGAGAACGAGAAGAACATCACGCTCATCAATATGGCTGAATTTGAAGAGACCCATGGCGAGGCTTATAACAAGATGCCGCGTATTCATGCATCAGAGTCTGCTAGCAAGAGCGACTGGATTCACGTCACGCTCGTGGCGGATTTCGACTCGGAGGCTGGTTTTGCTCTTCTGAAAGCACTGGCAGATTTCCGTGAGGCAAACCCCAACGTAGAGGCCGTTCTTATACACAATCCGAAAGCCGGTGCGGAGCAGTCGAACGCCTCAGAAGACATTCTAGAGACTTACATCAAATCTGACCGTAAGCTTACAAGCGGAGCCCTCTCCGAGATCATGAACCGGGATGCCAACTACAGAGCAACTCCCGCCGACTCCACTCTGTTCTGGAAGGTTGCTGAGCCGATCTACGACGCGTTCGGTCTGAAGCCGGGACAGAACGGCATGCTTGTTAACGGACGCTTCGTAGGACCCATCCCAGAAGACTACGGATTCTCATACGATGACGTGGAAACTTTTGTCACTTATGAGCAGGTCAAACGCATTGAGCCGTTGAACAAAGCGCTTGCCGATCTTGAACTCATGGAAAAGATCAAATCTCCAATAGATGTTGCGAAGATCCAGTCGCTGGTCGCACTTTCCACCGTGTCGGACGTTCCAGAAGGCATTTTCGAGACTGCATCAACACTGAGGATGAGCACTTACAACAACTGGACTGCCAAGCACACCGCTATCTTCCGGGGTGACGAAAACAACGCTGTCTTCCAGATCGTGGCCTCAATTGACCCCGCGACAGAGCTCGCACAGAAGTGGGTACCAATCCTTAAAGTACTCAGCGACATGGAGGGCACACACCTCAAGCTTTTCCTCAACCCCAAGCAGATGCTTCAAGAGCTTCCTGTCAAGCGTTTCTACAGATACGTCCTCGAAGCTCGACCATCCTTTGTCGCCGATGGATCCATCGGAAGCCTGGGAACCCATTTTTACGGCATTCCCAAGGAGGCTTTGTTGAACCTTGGCATGGATGTGCCACCCTCTTGGCTAGTTGCCCCGAAAGAGTCTGTATATGATCTCGACAACATCAAGCTTAGTACCATTCCTGCTGGTGCCGATGTCACCGCTGTCTATGAATTGGAGAACATCCTTATCGAGGGCCACTCTCGTGACACTACGAATGGCGGTCAGCCGCCGCGTGGTGCTGAAGTTGTTCTTGCCACTGAGCGGGATCCTCATTTTGCGGATACCATCATCATGGCTAATCTTGGCTACTTCCAGTTCAAGGCCACTCCTGGCTTTTACAACATCCAGCTGAAGAGCGGTCGCTCTCAGGAAGTCTTTAGCCTAGATAGTGCAGGTCCCATCAGCTGGGCACCTGTGCCAGGTGACGAGACTACCGAGATTGCTCTCATGAGCTTCCAAGGAGCGACAATATTCCCTCGACTATCGCGAAAGCCAGGTCAGGAAGAGACTGATGTACTTGCTCCTGAAGAATCGCTCGCCTCTGAGCTGGTTGGGAAGAGCGCGCAGAAGGTCAACAAGTTCCTCGGCAAGATTGGTCTCAACTTCGACTCCGAGAAGGTCCTGCAAAAGGGCGCTGACCTATTCTCCGGAAGCAAAGCGGCGAAGAAGGGCACACAAGCAGACATCAACATCTTCTCCGTTGCTTCAGGCCACTTGTACGAGCGCATGCTGAACATCATGATGGTATCCGTCATGAAGCACACCAAACACACCGTCAAATTCTGGTTCATCGAGCAATTCCTCTCTCCCAGCTTCAAATCCTTCCTCCCGCACATCGCCGCCGAGTACGGTTTCGAATACGAAATGGTCACCTACAAATGGCCGCACTGGCTGCGGGGCCAAACCGAAAAGCAGCGCGAGATCTGGGGCTACAAAATCCTCTTCCTAGACGTCCTGTTCCCCCTTGACCTCGAAAAAGTCATCTTCGTCGACGCCGACCAAATCGTGCGAACAGACATGTACGAACTCGTGCAACACGACCTAGAAGGCGCACCCTACGGCTTCACACCCATGGGCGACTCGCGCACCGAAATGGAAGGCTTCCGTTTCTGGAAAACAGGATACTGGGCTAACTTTCTGCGTGGTCGGCCCTACCACATCTCCGCGCTGTACGTCGTAGACTTAACCCGCTTCCGCCAGCTCGCCGCCGGCGATAGACTCCGCCAGCAATACCACGCCCTCTCCGCGGACCCCAACAGTCTGTCTAACCTCGACCAAGACCTACCCAATAACATGCAGTTTAACCTCCCCATCCACAGTTTACCCCAGGAGTGGCTGTGGTGCGAGACTTGGTGCGCTGATGAGGATTTGCACAAGGCGAAGACGATTGATCTTTGTAATAATCCGCAGACTAAGGAGCCGAAGTTGGAGAGGGCGAGGAGGCAGGTTCCCGAGTGGAATGTTTATGATGGGGAGATTGCGGCGTTGGCTAGACGGGTTAAGGGGGAGAGGGAGGCTGGGGAGGGGAGGGGGGTGGTGGATGTGCAGGAGGAGGAGCAGAGGAGGGAGAAGGAGGTGAAGGATGCGGAGAGTGAGAGGGAGGGGCATGGTGAGTTGTGAGTTGGTGGGTTGGGGGATAGAAGGTAGATGGCGCAAGGGTAAATTAAAAGTGCCGCAGTCTTACAAAGACACACTTTTCTTCTCTACATGCGTTTTTGCCAGCAGCAGCACAAAAGTCATCGTACATGGACATACGAAAGTTTGATGTTCCTATTCTCGACTCCCTCCTGATTCGCCCGTCCCTCGATATCGAAAAGGGCCGATAGAGCCGTCTTTCCGACCAACCTTCCCGATGATCGACAACCACCCTATGCGGTCATAAGTTTACAACGTTTGCACCCAACCCAACACAGTTATCACGGATAACCGGTTTCGACTGTATTAAAAACTATGGGTACCTCGATGAACTGAGATAATGCCACACCCCCGTACCCGGGTCTCGGCTTCTCTAGCGCCCACCGGTGGCTACGCCAACGCCGGCTGTACCTGGGATTGGGTGGAGAAGGCCAGTTCATGCCAAGACAGGTATGACATAGGTGTTCCAGCTGAACAGATGACGCTGAAGACGTAATGTGGAGGTGTTGTGCAGCAGGGCAGAAGTCGGGTGTATATAAGGCTGGGTTGCTGGTGTGTAGGAAGAGACCATACATCATCAATCAATCATCACAACCTACTCTACATCTATATCCATCACAACTCCGCACATACCGACCAAATCAAACTACACATCACATCTCCATCAAACATGTCCGGCCAAGGAGTTTCCCACCAGGGCATCACCGCCCCCGGTCTCAGCGAGGCGGACCAGAATATCAACAACACCACCGAGGATATCAGCAACAAGGCTTCGGGTCACAAGGCAAACTTGAGCAACCCCAGTACGCATTCCCTGAGATACCTAGCTGCGTGTTTGATGAGATGGAAGACTAACACGTGATGCAGACACTAGCGAAGAGTCCAAGAAGAAGTCTGCTGAGGCACTCAAGGCACTTGGTGGTGAGGACGCTTTCTATGGCAAGCAGGGTAAGGGCGAGTAGGGGATTATATCGTTACTTGATGAACGGAGGATGAAGTTATGATACCATATTGAAATAAGAATATAATGTCTTTCAACGTCAATGATGCGCGCGCCTGAATGCTGCATGAGTGATGTACAGCTTATTCGTATGCTCCATCGTACTGTACAAGTATGCTTTCAGGCGCAACCCAGAAGATGAAGCCCATAGTCAGCTGTCGTATGTCTGAAAAACGGCACGAGGACGAGACAATAGACCGTCGCGTCGGCGTTCTTTCCACATGGAAAGCGATGACGTCATCAACATCATCGTCTCCTTCCCCACACATCTCCACCCCAGCCATGCAGCCTCACCAAACATCCATCAGCAACACCAAACACCCACCTTAACTCGACCTCCCATCTCATACCTCCCCAACTATCACCTCAATCCCCCTAAAATGTCGTCAGAAACCCCCTCCATACCAACCCTCCACACCAAAGCCGAGTACCTCAAAGCCGTCATGTACGAAGGCGTCACCATCCTCGAAGGCACAGCCACCTGGTGCAAGAACTGCCACATCGTCGCCCCTGAAGTCGCAAAGATGGTGGCTGAGTACCCAAACGTAAAGTTTTACACGTATGATGTGGAGGAGTGTGAGGATATTGCGCAGGAGCTGGGGGTTAGGAGTATGCCGTCGTTTAGTGTGTTTAAGGATGGGGATATTATGGAGGGGGTTACCGGGGCGAGGCCGAAGGAGGTTAGGAGGGCTATTGAGGGGTGTTTGTAGGGAGGGGGGTGGTGAGAGAGGGTAGTTGGTGAGGGAGGGAGGGAGGGGAGGAGGTGAGAGGTGAGAGACTGTAGCGGGCTGATAGTGTTTGACTGGGTGGCATGAATCCAGGTAGAGTAGGTACCGAAGCTCATTGCTTGACCCATTGTGCTCATTGAAATTTCGATTTATGACCGTCAAACAGCGGTGGAATTGCGGCTGCCTAGGGCGGAGGTGAAGGCGACTTCGAGAAGCGAGACCCCATTTGAACGAATATTCCCCCGCGTCGCATCAACTACTCACCTACTCTTCTGCTACTCGTCTGCTACTCTTCTACTACTCTTCTACTACTCTTCTGTTACTCCAACGCAATTTCTTCGAAGTCTGTCAACTTACCATCTCATCGTTCCCCCCTCGAGCACTTCAGCGAATCGTTTTACCTGTTACCCGCGAACGCGTTCCTGATCAACCAAGTGACCGGGTTGGTCCTGCGCACAATCCCAATATGGCAGGCCCTGCCAAGAGAAGGACACAGGCAGAGGTAGCCATTCGGTACATTCTGGTAAAGGTTGCAGAGTACGAAGCGGCGGTCGCGCGACTGAGTGACAAAGAATTAGAGGCGTGGGTGTCAACGCTGAAGATCAGACTCCAGCATTACAAGGACAGTCTCGAGGAAAATCGAAAATATGTTACAAAGGAAGATTTTGCGACCATCGCAGCGGAGTCGTACACTGAGCGTCACTCCAAAAATCCCAAACTACCGCCAATCTCCATTACCGATTTTGGAGAGATTGCTGCCACAGAGACAAAGGCTTGGGAAGCCGCCATCGAAATCCAAGACACGATCAAACGTCTAGAGCACGAACTCCAAGAGAAGGAGCACAAGAAAGAACAATTACAAGCAGGTATTAAGAATTCAACAGGAACGGGGGCAGATCGCACTGAATTGGGTGAGCTTTGGATAGCCATCGGAGGCTGCCGGGGCAAGATTAGTGACTCTGGATTCCAGCTTTCAGATTTTTTCGAAACCGCATACCAAGCAACAGCCGCCATGAATCTTGCCGCCAAAAGACAACTCGATATACCTGGAGTCGGGAGATATACTCCCATGCTTCCACCCATCATAGTCACTGCCGCTCAAGTTCACATCAACCTCTTCACCTCTAGCTTGAAAGCTGCCGGAGAAGACATTGAAGTAGATACTGCTTCCGGAGTCGTAGTCTTGGCACCTGCTACTGCGACAACTGTCGCCAAACTGGACCCGCAGCTTCGGAAGATCGGGCTAATGACTGCAAACTCGCGTTATACCAACTTTGATCATCTTCAGCGGCGTGATTTCAATGTCGGCGACATCGGCTGGTTCCCGGTTCTGCGCCCTTCTCTGGTCGCGTCTGACTCTGACATACACACTGAATTTGGCTACATCCGCGCTAAGCTGTATCCGCTGATCATAGTGGAAAAGCTTCGTGACAGCATGATAGGTTTGCTTATCAACACGTCAGGTGGAAAAGGTCTGAGCAAGAAGGGCCCTTCTGTCCTCAACCGAAGCGTCCCAGTTGTCAAATACCCATATACCCACCCCCCGCAAGCTCTATGGGGAGAGGAGCTGTACCCGAAGCAAGTCCTCAACGTCCAATACTCCAGCAAATACGATCCGCCAATAGGCGCCTACGTCGACATGCTCAACACCGTCATGGTACCGTATGATTCAAGGTTCCGAAAGGAAGGGACGATTGTGAAGGACGATATTCTTCCTCTCCAGCAGATGCGGCTTTCAGCGCTCATCGCAACCTCTGAAGCTGGACATTTGGAAAGCTTGTCTGGATTTTGTGACTGGATATGGAAATGGGGATTTCAGTTTGGTGTCTTCCCAAAGCTTGGGGAGTATTACCGTAAATACTATCTGGCCAAAGTGAAAAAGGAACGGCAGCAGCAAGAGAAAGTCCAGGCTGAAGCTCGAGAAAAGGCAGAGGCTGAAGCGACGGTTAAGGCTAAAGCACGGTCGGAGGCTAAGGAACGCGAAGAGGGAAAGCAGCGTGAAGAGGCAAGGAAACGCGAAGAGGCAAGGAAACACGAAAAGACAGAAAAACGTGAAGAGGTAGAAAAGCGTGAAGAGGTAGAAAAGCGTGAAAAGGCAAAGAAGCGTGAAGAGGTAGAAAAGCGTGAAGAGGTAGAAAAGCGTGAAGAGGCAAAGAAGCGTGAAGAGGCAGAAGAACGTGAAGAGGCAGAAAAACGTGAAGAGGCAAAGAAGAGTATAGAGGCAAAGGAGTGCAGAGAGGCCAGGAAACGTGAAGACACGAGAGAGCAAGAAGACGCGCGGCAACGCGAGGACACCAAGAAACAGGAGGAGTTGAACAAGCGTCTGGATATCAGGAAACGTGAAGAAGCGCGGCAACGCGATGCTGCAAAGGTAGAGACGGATAGGAACCTCAGGGCGTTAACGCGCTCGGCGACCTCGCATAGCATGTTCGCCTAACGCTGATGTGGTTTCATAGCGACTTTTCATCAGTCTACGTAGAACAATGTACTCACGAACATGACATCGTCTTGCGTTCAGTATCGAGAAATGTCTTGAGATATGATAGTTATTGCTGATAACCAGGTTCACAAATCAGAAAGTTCAGAGACGAAGGACGGGTTTGAGAGAACACTTGGCCTATATCACTCGCGTTGAGCTTCAAGCGTCAGTCTAGGTGCGACTTTGGACAGCATAAATATCCTGCATGTGGGTATCGATGTTGTTTGTCTTACATTGGAAAGCAAGGATAAGAATGTGTCATTTCTTCGCATAATGCGCATGTACAAAGTAAATATTGAACATGCATTCCTATCATACAGACATTCTGCATCTCTATAACTTATGGTATCTTGCAAATTACAAACTTCCCTCCAGTCCCAGTCCACCTTCCAAAATTACACACCACTGCCCTTCCCAACCCATCTCAACTCATCCACCCCATCTCACCCACTTCCAGCAGAAGACGCAACAGGCGTATTCAACATCCCCGCACTAGCCTCATTCTCCAAACTAATCTTCATCTCCAACCAACTATAAAAACTCGCGCTCTTGCAAAAACTCTCATAAAGCCCATCCCTTGCTCTATGTCTCTGCAACGGGTTCGACCCGCGAAACTTGACACTCGTCCCATACTTGCTCACACTGCTCATCAGATCCGGAACGTGGAAACTGGCGTACCGGTTTGCGCCGCCGGGCGTAACGACGTTGGAGGTAGCGAGGTAGCGGTTTATGGGCGCAATGAACTGGGCGGTGAGCTCGGCGAAGTGGCGCCGGATTATGGGGCCTAATTCGCGGGTTTGGTCGCCGAGTTTGAGGAGGGATTCGATTTGCGATACGACTGCAGGGTCGGATTTAAGGAAGCGTTTAGAGGGCGTGTGGACTTCGATGCCGCCGCCGGGGAGGTCGAGGAGGGCGTTGCGACTAGATTTGTGGTGGAGGGAGTGGTGGCGGCGTGTTGGGACGGGGCCGTCGAAATTTTGCAGATACAAAATGTGTGGCCGCGCTTTGTGGCTGGCTTCTGCGGCGGCGACGATGCGTTTGAGTAAGAAGGGGTTTGTGACGCCGATGATGAAGGAGGTTGGGGTGCCGCCGTCGATGCCGATGCTTTTGAAGTTTGCTTGCATGGTCATGTAGGGTTTTACTACGCCGGCGTAGGGGACGGGGCAGATGAGGTCGACGAGGGAGGAGACGGCTTCGCTGGCTAGTTGGGGGGACTTTGCGATGACGATGACGCTTTCACAGAGGATGAGTTTCTCGTAGAGCACGTAGAGGTCCGTGATGCAGGGCATGTAGTGCATGATGTTGTCCCAGGAGCCGACGGGTTCGTAGGCGTAGATGGAGAGGGGTATGTCGGAGATTAGTGGCGTGGGTCCTGGGAGTCCTTGGAGAGGGAAGGCGCGATGTGGTGCGATGTCCAAGGTTAACATGCTGCCCATGAAGGGGAGATCGTGACGTCCGAGTGCTGGGGGCGCCCATGTGTTCATCTGTGAGAATGCAGCTTCTAAAGTCGTTGGGTCGCTGAGGGGTCCGGACTCTGTCATCTTCTGTAAGATGCGATGATGGAAGGAAGTGAAGTTGTGGTGGGAAATCATGACCAGTGTTCTTTGATTGAAACTCCTCTTCATCGTATCGTCAAACTCTTGGCGGAAGATACACGAGCCGTAGAGGGTGTCTGGGCTGCCATGAGGGGCATTTGGCGAAGTCAGTTTGATGTCGGGCGAGTTGTTGGTGATGGCGAAGTCGTAACAGAGGTCTTCGGCGGTCTCTGTGTTCTGTTGCTCAGGAAAACTAGATGCGACTTAGATTGTACCACTCGGAACTGGCGGACGAATGTACCTGTTGAAGCATATAGCACTCAGGTCGGCCGTCGTAAAGGGCACATCTGGAGGGTATAGAATCTCGATTTCTGGGCTACAAACTCAATACATTACTCTCCGAAGACATGGCATTCGGATAACCTACCCGATATCAACATTGAAGTTGCAGACTATGCTGCTGATGTAAGTACTCGTCACTCGGGAGACGAACAAGACTTACAAAGCCACGGCCCAGTGCTTGAACCCGCCTGTCGCGATGGGCGAGACCTTGGGCTCCCTCAGTTTCTCCATGTCATCCTCTCGCCGCGAGCGACGGTGGGCGTTCAGGAATTTATTCTTGAACTTTTCCATGTCGACGCTGGTCGCACCTGACAGGGGCAGGTGAACCCAAGGGTGATGTGAGGCGGCGACGACGGCGAAGGGTGTTGGTCAGAGCGAGCGAGTGACTTGGAAGACTAAGCGCCTAGCGGAAAGGGGAGCTGCCAATCGCCATGACACTGAGGGTCGTGAGAATGGGCAGAGGGCAGTCGTCGAGACATGCCTTGGGCATCTGCTCGGGGTTGCTTTTGGAAATGTCTCGTTTATCGGCAGGTGCTAGCGACAAGGATAGGCGGTTGTGTAGGAAGGCACGATGACGTGTGTGCCTTCCGTTAAAAGCGCAGATCCCTGTCGTGACCCCGTCGGCTCGAGCATCGTGGTTTACACCGTGAAGGGCTGCACGTTCCTCCTCGCCCTGCTTCACGACGCTCCCGATACCCCGCACGCTGTTACTCCAAGATGCGATAGGCTAGCCGCTGCACCATGTAGACTTGTCCTGCCCGCGACCTCACCATGGACGTCAATATCACTAAAGCCCTCAACGACAAGCTCTACGACAAGCGCAAGAGCGGCGCGCTCGAGCTCGAAGGCCTCATTCGCGACGCCCTCGCCGCCCAGGACCACGACAGGATAGCCCGCATCGTGCGCCAGCTGTGCCAGGAGTACGCCTATGCCGTCCACCAGCCCCACGCCCGCAACGGCGGCCTGATAGGGCTGGCCGCGGCTTCGATAGCCCTGGGCCCGGTGCGTAGACATATCTGATACACAGCTTGATATCCCTACTAACATTTCGCCAGGAAGTCGCTCGCTATCTCGAAGAAATCGTGCCCCCGGTCCTCGCGTGCTTCAGCGACCAAGATGCCCGCGTCAGGTACTATGCGTGCGAGAGCATGTACAACATCGCAAAGGTCGCCAAGGGCGAGATACTCGTATACTTTAACCAGGTCTTCGATGCCCTGTGCAAGGTGAGAAGACCCATAATGCCTCCTGCAACTGGTGAGACAAGGCTAACACGGCCCGGACCGTCCAGATGGCTGCAGATTCGGAGCTCTCAGTCAAGAACGGCGCAGAGCTGCTCGACCGTCTGATCAAGGACATCGTCTCCGAGTCGGCTGCCAGCTACGTATCTGTCCTACACGACACGCCCGACCAAGAAGACCCCGAAGACGAGCCCCACCCATTCGCTTTCAACCTCGAACGCTTCCTGCCCCTCCTCGAAGAACGCATCTATGTCCTTAATCCGTTCACACGTTCCTTCCTGGTAGCATGGATCACGCTGCTCGACTCCATACCCGACCTCGAGCTCATCGCTCACCTCCCTCGCTTCCTCGGTGGCCTCTTCAGATTCCTGAGCGACACCAACCAAGATGTATACACCATGACGCAGGCGGCATTGGACAGGTTCTTAAGCGAGATCAAGAAAATCGCCCGCATCAAGAAGGGTATAGCAGAAAGCAAGAGGAGCAACAGCAAGGACGATCGCAGGAACTCTACGGGTAGCATCCATAGTGGCAGCGAAGCGACAGACAGCACCCCTCTCGAGCTGGACGATTCGATCAACGACAAGGGCGAGGCAAGCGGAGAGAGTGGCTCCATCTCTGGCGACAGCGGAAAGTCTGTCAACGGCGACGGAAACTGGATACCTGGCCAGGATGTGCACGTAGACCATCCCAAGATCCTTGAGATTCTAGTCGACTTCCTGGTGCCCCCATCAGGTGGGTTTAACAAATACTCTATACAAGGATCGAAGCTGACTGGTGTAGGCACAGAAGAAGAGCAGACTGAAATACTGCTCACGGCACTCCGCTGGATAGACAACTTCTTCGACATTTGCCCAGAGGACATCATGCCGTTTGTTCCCAGTCTATTGTCGCACGTCCTGCCGCGCATGTCGCACGACGTCGACACCGTTCGCAAAGCTGCAGTCAAGGTCAACGCCTCGTTGATGGACTATATACTGTCATTATCTGACGATAACCGCCCCCGCGATGGTGCTGCAGGTGGACAGATTCAGCTACCGCCTTCCCTATCTGAGCTAGGTAAAGAGCTCACCGGCACGCAGCGGCGCGATTCTAATCTATCTGGCCGATTGCTCAAGGCAGTCATCCGCGATCAAGCAAACAAGGCTGAATCGCCAGATGGCAAGGGTACGCGATCGCCCACACCAGCAGAGGAGCGAGGCCCATCCCCGCGTCCAATACCAGAGCTGGACTACCAAGCTGCTGTCAGCGCTTTGACGCTGCAGTTCTTGAATGAACACGAAGCCACTCGCGTTGCGGCCATAGCATGGCTGATAATGCTCCATAGAATGGCACCTGGCAGAGTGAGTGTAAACATGCTGGCAATAAGGCAATTGCTAACAATTTCAAGATACTGACAGTGGACGACGGCACATTCCCTGCATTGCTGAAGACGCTTTCGGACCCTTCAGATGCAGTCGTTACGCGCGACTTGCTTCTTCTATCACAGATCTCACTGCACAGCGATGATACCTACTTCACTTCATTCATGGTTAATCTCCTGAAGCTGTTCTGTACAGACCGCCGACTGCTCGAAACTCGTGGTAACCTCATCATCAGACAGCTCTGCATAACATTGAGTGCTGAGCGTATATACCGTACCATGGCTGATTGCCTTGCGAAGGACGAGGATGTCGAATTTGCCAGTATCATGGTGCAGAACCTCAACAACAATCTCATTACTGCCCCAGAGCTTGCTGATCTACGAAGACGACTCAGGAACCTCGACAACAAGGATGGCCAATCGTTCTTTGTCATTCTGTTCAAGGCGTGGTGCAACAACGCCGTCGCTACCTTCTCACTG